ATTTAAAGTATCGATTCTTCACAGATATTTTATTTTCAAATATTTAATTTATGATAAATATATTAACATTGTAATTAAAAATAAAAAAGTGTTAAAGTAATATTCTTGCAAAAAAAATTAGTAGGTTATCTATTTAATATAAATTAAATATTTTTTAAAAAATAAACGGCCTCATAAACTATTAATTTTTTATTACTTTCATCCATTACATGAGTAAAGTATTGGCTCTTTATGGATATTTTATCCTGAATCATTTAATTTATGTTAAATACATAAATATTTATAACTAAAATTGAAAAAGTGTTATATTAATATTTCTACGGAAGAAAAACTGGTAGGTTTTGTGTTTAACAAAAATTAAATATTTGAGAGTAAATACAAATCTGTATTTGAGAATAAATATTTGTGATAAAGTAAATGTTTGAAAATAAAATTCATGTAAAGAGCTGGCACTTTAAATAGGCAATACGTATTTGCCTATAAACTACGCTCGTTAAAGTTTATTAATTGTTAATTAATTTGTAATACTTTGCCATTCATTGGACATGTGGCACAAAGGACAAATCAGGTACAAAATTCTAATTTCACTCTCTAAAATAATATTTTAATCATTTGGACTGAATTTGTAAAGGATTAGTAATCTCAGGGGAGGTCAGTGTAATTGTTCAAACTACAGGGGAGGTAAGTGTAAATGTCAAAAACCTCAGGGGAGGTTTCTGAAATTATCCCAATAAAAATATAAGGTAGGCCCAGACTTGCACGAAAAGAGCGCCTAAATTTGGGATTTTGAATTTCGAGTTTACTCTCCGCGTTACCCTCACCGCCACACGATGCCTGCTTGGAAAAAAAATTTTAGTATCATGGTTGGTTTTTTGTGATTTTATCAACTCCGTCACATAAAATTTGTCATATTTGTTACTTTTTTCTTATTCCAAATTAATTGTCATTTTAAAAAAGTCAATCCACTTTTTTCAATGAAATTTTATCTTCATCCTTCGTGTGGTAAATCACTCATTCCTCATAATTATCAATATATCAAATAAAAGATGGTATGCCACTAAGGATATAAAAGAAAATTAAAATTTCTCTTTCCTATTGATATCATTATACATAAATTACATGTTCTCTAAAAAATGACAAATTTGATGAGGCAAAAGGAATATTGGCTTGATGTAGTTGGTTTTTTAAATCAATGAAATAGTGCTACTTAGACAACTAAGAATCACACAAATTTTACTTTTCCATGACACCACACCATGGTCTCCCACCTATGAATCTCGTTGCATTTTGTTTTGATTTTTCTAATAAAGCGTCTCATAAATTTTCTATTTTTTCTGGGGATTTTAGTAAGAATTTTCTATTCTCCTAAGAATTCCTATGGAGTTTTTTGTTAGATTTGAATTTATTTTAGATCTAATTGTAAGATTTGAAATTCTTTTGGGTATTAGATCTATTTTGACAGAACTTATCATCACAATAAGATTTTAAAACTGTTGATTAGTAGATTTAGCGATTGTAATATGCATAGAAAGGAACTACAGTGATTTATCTATTAGAAAAAAACTTGATTTTTTTCTTATATTTTTCAGATTTGTTCATAATTTTTTTGGATCTATTGTATTTGTTTGTTAAATTACATAACTATAATTTCTAGTACATGTTTAACTAGTCATTAAAACAATGATGTAAATTAAATTGTGCTGGATGATTTTCTAGCAATTTGTTAATGAAATTTACTTTTTATATAAAAAAAAATTGTAAAGTTGATGAACTCCACAATCTTGTCTAGAGTGTTTTTATTTCAAAAACTAAATACTAAACTTGTCAAGTAATTTGTACGAAATGTGATAAAATTTCTCATGTCCTTCTATTAAATATCAATAAGGATTATTGATTTACCAACCATAAGTGTGTTTTTATTCTAATACGAGGTGCTATAGGATGTGTAATTTTATTTGAATCTAATCAATGATAATTTTAGCAAAATTAATTGCATGGGCTTATAAAATCAATAATAATGTACCAAAATAAGGATAATGTGCTGATAGTAGTCAAAAGGTGCCAAAATATCATAACAAAATAAAATAATAAAATCATTAATTTGCACCATCTTTTATCTAGTTAATTTTGCTAACAATATTAGTAATTGGGACCTTATAAATCAATGATAATGTAGTAAAAGTGGTCAAAAAATTAATGAATCATAGTTAGAACAAAACGATACATAGTCATTAATTTTCACTACTCTTTATCTCATTAATTTTGCAAATGTATTCATTGATTGGACTTAAATTAGATAAACTTGAGACTTTAGGGTGCAAAGTATCCAAAATTAAGTGCTTAGTGTGTAAAGTGTGTAAAATTGAAGTTTAAGACACAAAATGGGGAAACGATACATGTTTGGAGGTGCAAAGTGGAATTTGTCCTTTGTAAAGTCAATTTTGCCTACAACTGCATCAAAAACTAAGCTTGTTTATTTTATAAAGTTCTAGCAGCACTACACAAGTTGTAAATTTACATACACACAGAAATTCAAATAGTTAGTCCCCATCATGAGATTTTAGATAAACTATTGAGTATGAACCTGCTTAAGAATACGAGAGATTTTGCAGTTGTTTAGTCATACAAAATAATAATAATAGTAATCAATGATTGAAAAGGTGTCTAAGATCATAAGATTTAGAAGTTATATAACTTTTCTACTGGCCTTATTGATTATGATGCACTAAAATAGAATGAATAACAGCAAAAAACCTAGCGGAGGCAACGCGACAATGGCTACAACAGAAAGCACAGCTATGACTGCCATAAAGAGCGCAGCCACGGTTACAACAGCAATCGCAACAGGCACAACAACATGATTGCAGATCAAGCTCAACAACTCCATATCTAAAAAATGAGTTTGGGTTGAATTCGATTCTAAAATTTCAGCATGGATTCCCCTCATCTCGTCCTCCAACTCCTGAATTCGGCTCATATTGCCTTTGATTTGTTTAATTTCTTCTTCGAGTTTTCTGAATCTTTTATCCACCATAGTTTTTATCGATACCAGGAGAAAATTAGAGGATTCTTCTTTTTTTTTCTGCTAGGTTTTAATACTGCTAAGCTTAAGGGATGGGGTGGAAACTTGGGAAAAAATAGGCAAAGTCACTGTGTTTAATACCTTGATTTATAGCTTTTGCCGCAAGCAATCATCAATTTTGCCCTAGATGCCACATACAAGTTTTTTTTTTTTTTTTTTTATAAATTTTATCGTTCAAATTTAGGAATTCAAAAAAAGAAAGTTTTCGCGAGTGAATAGGATTTGAACCTATACCAAAGGTTTAGAAGACCTTCATCCTATCCATTAGGGGTGAGCGCGGATCGGGTACCCGCTTCTTCCATCATTTGGTAGATTCAACCCGCACATTGTGAGTTAGTCATTTTCCAACCCTTACTCGTCTCGCGTATCAGTGGGTATTTGATTATAGGGTACCCGCTGAGATACGGTTGGGTCAACGGGTACTTGCTCAATCCCACTTATCATTCAATTTTTTTAAAAATAATAATTTATACTAATTTAATTTTATATTTTACACATTCATCTAATATTTAATAAAGATTTTTTTCTCAAAAAAAGTTTCCCAACAAGAAAGAAACATGCGAAGAGAATACAAGATAAAGGAAAAAAATTAAAAGAATTCAAAATCAATAAAAGTTTGAAATAAGTAGCACATTTTTTTTAAATATATGTTCCACATTAATTAAACTCTTTTCCACAAAATGTAAGATCATAACCTCTACAAATGAATATTGTAATTAAACTATAATATCTCATATTTGTAATGCAATTTATTCAATGAAATTACTTATTTATGTCTAAAATTATTATTTTATAGTATGTGTATAAAAATAAAAAATATATATATGCAGATGGGTCGGGTACCCGCGAGATTTTTAATTATGTGATCCTAACGCACCCTGCATCTTAGTGGGTACCAGACACTCTTTTGACCTGATCAAATAATACAAATTGGGTATCATAATTTTCGGATCGGATATGGTGGATTTTCGGGTTAGCGGATAATTTTGCCCACCTCTACTGTCCATTAGACAATGGACGCGTTTCATTCTATTTTTTTTCATATTTTGATTCTTGGTTAAAAAAAATAATTGGATTGTAGGTAAGTTTTTATTTTTTTAATTGGACTTACAATCTCATCCACCTTATTATCTAACCCAACCCTTCCCTCATCAATATATTGATTTTGAAAAATGATATATTCATGCCCTTAATGAAAATTAAGGGCATGAAGATATATAGATATAAAATAAGAGAGCCTAGATATTATTTCCTTAATAGTTCAAAAATATATTGAATTAGAAAATGACCAAATATGAGAGGAACAATGAATGAGACTGTGTTATCACAAGAAATTCAATTTACAAACAAGTTGAACATTCATATATATAGAAAACTTTAGAATAAATCAAATAAAATTAGTTAATTTAATCACTACACAGTATGATGCAGAGAGCGATGGATATCATTTAATCTTACCTTTTTCAAGCACCTTAATCATCCGTGACAAGTTAAGAAAGCACACAAGCCAATTTGTTCCAAGATGCCGAGTATAAAAGTTATCTTTTTTTTTTTTTTCGAAACGATAGATGATTGTATTGCTGGACAAAAGCTGTACAAGTGCGAGCAAAGGCTCGATTGAACTTTACAAGTGGCAATGCTACCACTAAGGACACCAATGTTCCTCATCAAAAATAATGCCCAAGGCATGAATGCTAAGCTTAGAGTTTAGTTGAGTCTTATCCTTTTTAATTAAACAAAAGGAGCACATAGGAAACAGCTCTCTCAAATGAACAATGTCATCCACAACAGTAGCTAATCTAATGTCACCTACGCTGTTTGTGCGAATTTGGCTGAGAAGTTGTGGGTTTTGCACTTGGAACTGCACTTCCCTGATGTGTGTCCGGACTGGCATAGAGGCAATCTTACACATGGCCAGCTAAAGTGCACTAGCTTCATCCAGCAGTGCTGAACCAGAATTTCTTGCTCGAAGTGCCCACCCTCTGTGTAATCTTTGATCAGGCTGATTAATAACAATTCCAATACCCATGTTGTGATTGTTCATGTTCAAAGTTGCCCCTACCATCACTTCCAGTGTCCCAAATGCTGAATGTAACTGCGGTATGGGTGCATGAAGGGTTGCTGTTTCGTTTGTACTCATTCCACATTCCTTTGTATCAAGTTCTACCAATTCTAACCATTCCTGATGTGCCCTCTGTACTATCTTCCAAGGCTGTTTTTCCTTACCATTGAATTCCATTTCATTCCTAGCTTTCCAAATTTGCCAAAGAATATTGACAGACAAAGAAATATGTAACCAACCTTCTGTTCTGTGCTTGGCTTCCAAGATTAATAACCACCATCTACGGAAACTCCCATGGTGTTCCTTAATTCCATTCCATTGGACAGGAGCTAACTTCCAAATCATTTCAGATTCGCGGTAGTTCAAAAGCATATGTTCGATAGTTTCCCTATCCTCTCCACATCTACTGCAAATGGGATCCCCAACTTTAAGTCTGCCGTATATCGGATCTTTCACTGGGAGCGCATCATTTAGGCATTTCCAAAGGAAGACATTCAGTTTGTGTTTCACCTTTAGTCTCCACAAGTCCTTCCATGTCTTCTCGGTTTGGTCCCTCCCAACTTGTCGAACCCTCTGTGTTGTTTCCATTGTGACTAAATTCTGCACAGTTAACCAGTAATTTATACCCCGATTTGACCGAATAGTGTCCATCAGTCCCATAAATCCAAAAATGACTATCTTCCTTCCCTGCTAGACTTATAGGAATATTCAGGATCCTTTCAGCATCTAGGGTATTGAAATGCTTGAAGACCAGATTAGAATTCCATGATTTATGGTGTATCAGCTCGTGAACTTTCTGGAGGCCATTGTCTCTAACTCTTCTGGTAGTCACTCTGCCGTCTCTATTCCTTGGAATCCATCCATCATCCCAAATGTTGGTAGTGTTGCCATTTCCAATCCTTCTTCTTGTTCCTTGTTCCACTAAACCTCTAGCTCCCATAAGACTCCTCCATAGCCAAGATGCATTGTTAGGGACTTTGCATCGAAGAATAGACGTTCTTGGGAAATATTTAGCCCTCATAACTTGACTGATTAATAAATTAGGTTGGGTTATCAATCTCCAAACCTGTTTGCCGAGAAGAGCTACATTGAAAGCCATCAAATCTTTGAAGCCTAGTCCTCCCTTATTCTTGCTTAGCATAAGCTTCCTCCAGGAGCACCAATGAACCTTATTCTTCCCGTTAGACTCTCCCCACCAGAAATTTGACAATAATGAGCTCAGTTCCTTACATAATCTGGATGGGAGCTTAAAGCAGGACATGGTGTACGTTGGCATAGCTAGAGCTATAGATTTAAGTAAGATTTCCTTACCTGCTGTACTCAGTAACCTATTTGTTCACCTACTCATTCTTTGTTGTACATTAGACTTGACATAGCCAAATAGCTGCTGTTTTGATCTTGATACTACCATTGGTAGGCCAAGATATTTCCCTTGGGTAACACTTTGCATGTTCCCCATAGCTTGACAAATCTCTTGCTTCAGCTGTATCCTTACATTCTTACTAAAAAGAATGGACGACTTTTCCAGATTGATCACTTGACCAGACCCCAATGCATATCCTGCAACACCCTCATCAGTTCCATTGCTTGATCCTTAGTTGCTTTGCAAAAGATTAAGGAGTCGTCTGCGAAGAAGAGTTGTGTTATACTTGGACCATTTCTACTTATCTTTAAACCAGAAATTTTCCTAGAAGCTGCTGCCTGCCGAATGAGGTTGGAAAATCCTTCGGAGCAAAGAAGAAACAAGTAAGGGGAAAGAGAGTCCCCTTGTCTAATACCTCTGGTGGGTGTCACATACTCTTTGACCTCGCCATTAATATTGAATGAAAAAGAAACCGTTCTCACACACTCCATAATCCAGTTGCACCATTTATGATGAAATCCCATCTTCTGCATAATGGCCTTTAGGAACCTCCATTCCACACGGTCGTAGGCTTTAGACATGTCCAACTTCACTGCCATAAACCCATCCTTCCCTTGTCTCTTATGATTTAGATAATGCAAATATTCATGGGAAATCATAATGTTGTCTAAAATTTGCCTACCAGGAATGAAAGCTGACTGGTTTTTGCAAATGCAACAATGTAACACACTTTTGAGCCTATTTGCTAGAATTTTAGCAATGACTTTATATATGGTAGTGCACAGACTAATGGGTCTAAAATGCTGCAAAGATATGGGATTTTACACTTTAGGAATGAGAGTAATTATAGTATGATTAACACTCTTCAATAAGTGTCCCGTATGAAAGAAAGTTTGAATTGCATTTACCACATCATGCTTGATAGTAGTTCAGAATTTTTGGAAAAAAAGAGGTGACATACCATCAATCCTAGGAGCTTTGTCTGGGTTCATAGAGAAAATTACAGCTTTAATTTCATCTTCCAGAACTGGTTTCATCAGGTTTCCATTAAGATCATCCGTGATAATATGTGGAATTCCCTCTAGTACCGCAGATAAATCCCCTACATCACAGCTTTTCAACAGATTTGAGTAGTATTCTGCAATTTCCTTACTCAATGCCTGCTCACTCTCAGTCCACGTCCCATCCACTCGCTGAAGTTTATGCAACCGATTTCTCTTTCTTCTGCCTTGTACATATGTATGGAAAAATTTCGTATTCTTGTCACCTTCCCTAAGCCATTGTATCCTCGATTTCTGAAGCCAGTAGAGCTCTTCCTCCTTATATGTATTCTGGAGCTATTTTTTTTAGAGATTCCTTGCTTCCCTTGCTGGAGGCACCTTTCGATTGTTGCAACTCACTAATCTCATTCTTTAACTGCTCAATTGCCTTTCTTGAGTTAGCTTGGAAACTATTTCTCCACTTTAGAAGATCTAGTCGGCAGTTCTTGACCTTCCTAACCACTTGAAACATTCTAGAACCCTCAACCTCTTTCTCCCAAGTAGTTCGGATTACATCTCTTATATCATCTTTTTGGAGCCACCTCTTGTCAAAGTAGAAGCGTTGTTTCTTTCTATTATGGTTCATCATGGTATCAAACAAGAGTATACTGTGATCAGATGCAAAAGAGGTTATGTGGGAACATTGAACCTTCTCAAAAACCTGTGACCAGGAATGAGTACTTAAACCTCTGTCCAATCTTTGTTTTATTAAGCCTCCTTGTTCCCAATTGTTACACCAAGTCCAAGGCTGCCCAATAAACCCAATATCCAGCAACTGATTCCCATTTATGAATTGCCGAAAGTCTTGAAAACTACTTTCCTGTCTAGAATTGCCTTCCTATTTTTCTTCATTAGACACAATATCATTAAAGTCACTAGCTATGAACCATCTTTCTCCCCACAGTCTTTTCCTATTTCCTATAACCTTCCACTGTTGATGTCTAATTTGTTGCTCACAACTCGCGTAAATACCTACAAACCACCAATCACAGTTAGCCTCCAAATCCTCCACATGCGCTTCTATGGTAAAGGCAGTCGTAAGCACCTCTAATATTTTCACCTCATCTTTCCAAAGGAGAGCCATTCCTCCTGCCTTGTTCATTGCCTCCACTACCACCAAATCGTCAAATCTTAAAATATTTTTAACTTTCTCCATATATTTTGTTCTATTCTTGGTCTCACTCAAGAAAACCATACTTGGAGAGAAGAGGTTATTAACCTCTCTCAGCTGGGGAATTGTTAAGGGGCTGCCCACACCTTGACAATTCCACACCTGGACTCTCATTGGACACTTGGGGTCCTCTTAGGGATGGACCCTTCCCCCTCAGCCTCTTGTTTGTGCCATTTCATCTCATGTACTTCAGTGGTAGCATCCACCAATTCCATTTTCACTTCATTAATTTTTCTCTTACCTTGGTCTTTAACATTCCCCAAGTTGATGCTTATGCCTTTTAGGGCCTGCCTTCTTTTGCTAGGAGACCTCAAAGGCTGCTAGACCCTTCTGAAAAATGATATATTCTAACCCAACCCTTCCCTCATCAATATATTGATTTTGAAAAATGATATACTCATGCCCTTAATGAAAATTAAGGGCATGAAGATATATAGATATAAAATAAGAGAGCCTAGATATTATTTCCTTAATAGTTCAAAAATATATTGAATTAGAAAATGACCAAATATGAGGGGAACAATGAATGAGACTGTGTTATCACAAGAAATTCAATTTACAAACAAGTTGAACATTCATATATATAGAAAACTTTAGAATAAATCAAATAAAATTAGTTAATTTAATCACTACACAGTATGATGCAGAGAGCGATGGATATCATTTAATCTTACCTTTTTCAAGCACCTTAATCATCCGTGACAAGTTAAGAAAGCACACAAGCCAATTTGTTCCAAGATGCCGAGTATAAAAGTTATCTTTTTTTTTTTTTCGAAACGATAGATGATTGTATTGCTGGACAAAAGCTGTACAAGTGCGAGCAAAGGCTCGATTGAACTTTACAAGTGGCAATGCTACCACTAAGGAAACCAATGTTCCTCATCAAAAATAATGCCCAAGGCATGAATGCTAAGCTTGGAGCTTAGTTGAGTCTTATCCTTTTTAATTAAACAAAAGGAGCACATAGGAAACAGCTCTCTCAAATGAACAATGTCATCCACAACAGTAGCTAATCTAATGTCACCTACGCTGTTTGTGCGAATTTGGCTGAGAAGTTATGGGTTTTGCACTTGGAACTGCACTTCCCTGATGTGTGTCCGGACTGGCATAGAGGCAATCTTACACATGGCCAGCTTAAGTTATCAATACCTCTGTTTTCAAACTCGGACCGGACCGGCCGGTCGAACCGGTCGAACCGGGAACCGGCCAGGTAGCCGGTCCGAGTCAACTTAGAAAACCGGAAATTTTAAAACTCGGTCAAAGCCGGTCAAAATCCGGGTTTGACCGGGAAAAAACCGGTTTTTCCGGTTCAACAGTAATTTTTAAAAAAAAAAATTCAAACTTTATAATATTATGTTTTGGCCCCCTAAATTGTTAAAACTTATTCGTATACCTCAAATATTTGATACTTTATAAATATTGTCCTACAATTTGATGTTATTTTTCAATTAAATTCATAATTTTAATTCTAAACTTGTTAATATTTATTAAATAATATAAATTGCTACTTGATTGTTCTAATTTCTTTGTATTTTCTTGTTAAATATATTTGAAATATCAAATATATATGAATATACCTTTATTAATATCAATATATTATTAGATATGATATATATAATATTTTAATTTTTAAATAATTTTTATTTATGACGTCATCCGGTTCGACCCCTATCGACCCCCGGTCGAACCCATTGACCCCTGACCCCTGACCTTGGCCGAGTCGCTATCCGGTCCGGTTCTGAAAACATAGATCAATATATCACAATTTCAGTGTAGGAGTCATGGTCAAACTAAAATCTGAAACTAAAATTTAAGAGCTGAAATTTTAATTTGCTAAATCACAAAGCTGAATCTTTATGACTAATTTAAATACAAAATAGCATGTGTTTATTGGTGAAATTCTATGCGTCTTTGAGTGAAGAAAGATTTTGTGTACGTATTAGACAGGAAACATAGTATTTTTCCCCCTTTTTTCTCTCAAAAGAGATGGTGTTTAGTTTGCCATCGCAATTCAATGTTCTATCGCACATATTTGCAATCATTTGCAATAATGAATGCTAATTAAACTTCTCCTCAAACTCAGGAAGCAATAAATTGAAACTTTGATTAATGCTTAACAATCTAAACCAAATGGCAAATGCTTAACAAACTTCTAAACTTTGTTTCTGTACTTATTGATGGAAGTGTCTACTCCTTTTTCAAGATTAATAAGACCATGGTTTATGTTAACACAATCAAATCTGGAAGTACTAAAATGTAATCCAACGAATTGCATAAAGATATCCAACAAACAAGTTCGATGCTAACCGTTAAAATTAAATGAAATGTACTTCATTTGTTTTCCTGTTTTTGGACTTCTGTGGAGGGGCAAGAGGCTCCCTGACAACGTCAAATCACCAGTGCATTTGCAGTACTAAGTACTATATTTTATAATTAACTGCAGCAAAATGAAGCAAAGATTTTACCTGGATCCAATAAATTTGTAAAATTAAATTTACCTTTCTATTGTAGCAACAATGAATCTTGTTTATTTGGCCTTATTACTAATGATGCACTAGAAAAGAAAGAAATAACAACAGAACACCTAGAAGAGGCACCGCAGCGATGGCTACAACAGAAAGCACAACGATGATTATGACAGAGGCCATAGTAATGGTTGCAACAGACACCACAACAACGATGGCGAC